TCCCTAACAAATTATCTCTATTTCTAATCGAATGTAAGGTTATTCAATTAGGAAGTATTTGATCATGTCACATAAAAACGCTTCCAATGTGGTTACATACTTGCTTTCTAAGTTTAAGAAGTGACTAATTCCTAATCCTTAACAGTTAACAAGGAAATTTATGTGTTCAAAGCTCCCTAATTATTCATTTCTAAGTTTTTCTTTAAGTATTTCATGTAATGCAAAAACTCCGCCGGGGTTGTTAACAACTCCGCCGGTCCCAAGCCCGGGTTAAGGAGGAGGGTTGTGTGTTAGGTAGCCGACAGCCAACACGTAAAAAAGCCGCTCGGATCCCTTATGAAAATGAATCCTACTTTGAATCGTTTAAATGCTAGGTCGTTCCCCTCAAGTGACGCGTTGCGCCTGCCTCCGGGTGTTTCGAAAAGTGAGCAAGGGGCGCCGCATCGACGCCTGGGTGCGGTGAAAAATGGGCAAAGGTTTCCGCGTTTTTCTGGACGAGCGCGGGTAAAGAAGCTAGTCCAAGACTATAGGTTTAGGATAGCCACTTGGAACATAGGAACCTTAACTGGTAGGACGATGGAATTGGTAGATGTCATGATTAGGAGGAGAGTTAGTATAGCTTGCATACAAGAAACTAAGTGGACGGGAGAGGAAGCTAGGGAAATTGAGGATACTGGTTTTAAACTTTATTATAGTGGTAAGGATAGACGCAGGAATGGGGTAGGAATCATAATTGCCAAGGGTCTTGTGGAAAGTGTGGTGGCGGTCATTAGGAAAGGAGATAGGATTATGCTAGTTAAATTAGTTATTGGAGGGAATATAGTGAACAGTATTAGCGCTTACGCCCCTCAAGTAGGGTTAGATGATCAGACTAAGAGGGATTTTTGGGAGCACATGGATGAGATCTTACAGGAGATACCCGTTTGGTTTGGTTTGGTTTGGTTTGGTTTGGTTTGGTTTGGTTTGGTTTGGTTTGGTTTGGTTTGGTTTGGTTTGGTTTGGTTTGGTTTGGTTTGGTTTGGTTTGGTTTGGTTTGGTTTGGTTTGGTTTGGTTTGGTTTGGTTTGGTTTGGTTTATGACATTGTATATAGATTGAGTATAGGACAACAGTATGTTACATCCAACACTGTGTCCACAAAAGTTAGCATACATGGGCCTCGTTTGGGAAGTGGATATTTTTAGGTTTTTTGGTTATTTTAGTAGGTTATTTTAGTTTGTGTTTGGGAAGATGGGTTGAATTTTTTGTTTGATTGTTGTATTGGAATATGTGTTTGAAATGATGTTGGGATAAAAAATAACCAAATTATCCCTAAAAAGTTGTTGTTGGCATGCTAATGTGATGTGTTGGGATAGGAAATGACCAAATTGCCCCTGTGTGTTGAAATGCTAAGTTGGTGTGTTAGTCAAAAATTAAAAGGGCAAAATCGTAATTTCACCCTCTGTCCTGCACAGCCACGAACCATGTGCCAAACCTCAGCTACAATAAAGCGTTTTGACTATTTGTTTGAATGAGGCTAAAATGGCCTCATCCCTTGCTTCCCAATCACCACCATGCATGCTTTCAGATGCATCCTATCTCCATACATTAGTTGCATCCAATCTAGAAGGATGGAAACCATAACCTCTTTAGGTGCATACAAGTTAGCCTAAGAAAATGCAGTATTCAAATGAAAGGAAAAAATAGTGTGTCTTCAACAAAATCAAAATTGTTGCTTGAGCTAAATTTCAATTTGGCCTATCAAGAAAATATCATAAATATGTACGTCAGCTTCCTTATGTCGTCTTGCAGCAAGGTAGAGCTTCCATCATTCAACTATTCATTAGAAGATATTTTGCAGTGTACACCTCACCCATTTTTAATGCATATTTTACCCACGAAATTCATTTATTTAGCATGACAATTTTACAAATGTTGGTATATTGTTTGATCAAGAATCTTAAAAGTAACTCGTAACAGCTGAATGCCAGATTTGCGTAGTTACCCTAAAATAGGTTTTTTTTTGAACAGTCCCTAAAATAGGTTTTTGGTAAAGAAAACTTGTATTGGGAAACATTTTTGCAGGATAACTCCAGTTCCACACACAATTTTTCCTGGACCATTGATATGATGTGTATTTATTTGCACTATGACTAAGGTTGTTAAAATTGGGATCCTACATTAGATCGTTAGAATGTTTATAGGATCAGATCGAGAATTGTAAGATCCTACTGAAAAAGACAAATTACGTAATAATTTAATTTAAATAAACATTTCTTAAAAAGTATACACAAAATAAACCTATATTCTACTAAAAAGAAGTAAAAATATTGTGAAAAATATAATACTCTATGTAAAATGTAAATATAATATTAATATTATACAATAGAAAACTTGATGGTAAAAATTTTGCATTTCATAAAAAAAGAAGGTGAACAAGAAGAATTCTATAATATAATACTTTGTAATCTACAACAATGCATAAAAAGTAAAGAAACAATATTTAATAAAGTCGGATATGAAAATAGATTGAGAAGTCAAAAGAGCGGCTTAACCGGACGATAAGGTTTGTCATTAGCATGGGTTCAAGTCATAAAAATTGGGATAAAGTTACAATCATCTTACCCTCCGTAGACCCTACTAAAGTTAGGTTTGTTTTTCCAACTACTTAGTTTTATTAAATTGGTATTATATTAAATGCTTGTTTGTTTATTTTATTTTTATTTATTTTTTTTATTTTTAATATTCATTTGGACTACATAAATTGATATTTAGATAACAAACATAAAATTTACAATAAAATAGATTATACAATGCAAAACAAGGCTTACAAATTGGATCAGATAGGATCGGATTCGGAGCAGGATTCCACGATTCTATAAGATCCCATTGATGCTAAGGTGGATGTGTGGTAAGACTAGACATGACAGGATTAGGAATGAGTGTATTCGGGAATGGGTAGGAGTAGCACCGATAGAAGATAAGTTGAGAGAGAATCGTTTGAGATGGTTTGGTCATATTCAACGGAGACCAACAGAGGCAGTAGTGAAGAGATGCGATGCTGTAACGGTAGATGGAAGTGTTAGGGGACGGGGTAGGCCTAGATTAACGTTGACTAGCGTTATAAATAGAGATATGAATCTACTTAATTTGACTAATGAAATGGCCTTTGATAGGGCCGCGTGGAGAAGAAGGATTCATGTAGCCGACCCCATTTGATGGGACTTAAGGCTTCGTTTGGTTTGGTTTGGTTTATTTCATGTAATGCAATGGCTAATCGGGCTCATAGCATTCAAAGATGGATATGGATGTAGTTATGGCACATGACATTATTTGTGGTGTTACACAGAGCTTCTCTCTCTAAAGTGTTTCTCTCTTTAGAAAGGTTTGTGTGGTAACTTCTTTAGCTCTCTTCCAAGTTAGGCTGACTCATGTGTAACCAAGTGGGTTGACAAGCATCTAAGGCCATACAGTTGACTTTGAAAAATCCAAAGTCGTGACATTAGGCACCTCCGCTTGGGATCATTGGACGCTTGTGGACTGGAGGCTAAGGCTGTGGAATCATCAAGGCTTGCTTGGTTGTCTTCCTGTCAAGACAGTTACTCCTTGACAAGGCTTAGAGAGGTTTAATTCTATAACAATTATCAGAAGTTCTAAAGCCTTTAATGATGCAAGTACCACTAGAATCAACAATTGAGCATTCATTCAAGTTATATTGAACATGATGATGGTTATCACAAATTTGACTAATACTCAGAAGATTTGCTCTCAAGCCATCCATAAACAACACATTTTCAAGTCTTGGAAGATCCGAAGCAATTGTAGTGCCTTCCCTAAATTCCGGGTTTTGTTACCATCCCCAAAAGTTACCATACGCTCATGACATTCTTTCGAGTAACCAAACAAAGATTTGTCGCCGGTATGTCTAGAACAACCACTATCAAGATACCAAGAAGAAAAATCATGTGCTTTGAGTGCAACGTGAGCAACCAAAACATTTACATTATTCTTCCTAATCCAACAAGAAGGTCTACTAGTAATCCTAGAATTCACCCCCTTTCTATCAGTTAGATAACCACTAACAACTTCAGAACTTTGATAGTGCCAATTCTTAGCAAGAAGAGTTACTTTATTGACCTTGTCACTAAGAGACTTGGATTGATGAGCTAGGGCCTTGAGATAAATGAAGAATTCATTTTGGCTTTCTGTGAAGGTCTTCTAGCCTTGCTCTTACCAAACCTATCCAACTCAACTCTTCTCTCCTTGAACATTGTAAAGCAATTTGATCGGATATGACCACTCGCCCCACAATGATGACACACCGGAATGAACTTAGGTTTACCATCTCCCTTAGTAATAGGAATGAAAGAAGGAACATTTTCTTGAAACTGTAGCCCGATATAGTTCATAATAGAAAAGTTGGATTGTGTAAATGAACCCCATATAATTCCGACATGGCTTTCTTGAATTTTTGCTGCTTTTGTTGTCCGTGCACATTTGCTTCAATGTTTTCCTTCTAAATTTTGATGATTGAAAATCCTGAACATAGCACATTTGCTGCTATTTTCCTATTGGTGTTCTTCATGGATATAAGAAACCATAAATTTGTGATAAAGAAATGTGGAAGATGCTCCCTTATAACTGACAAAAAAGGAGAGTATAAAAGAATGTGGAAGGCAATTCTGTTGGAATTTTTTCCTCTAGGATGGTGGAACCACTTCTCTGATATACTATGAACTGTGTATTCCAATTTTCAGTTATGCGAGTATAATGTCAAACATGTTATTTTTCTGTTTGAGATGATTGAAATAGGCTCACCATGTTTAATATGTTTGATGCTAATGTCAATAGAGAGACTAATTTGAATGCTAAGTAATGCGGTACGACTGATTGCTGAGAAGTTGGCATCGTACTTTAATGCAATCGCTTTAGGGTGATAAACAAGGGTTGGTGGTGGCCATATTAATATTCATTCTAATTATATTTCTGAAGCAAAATTTTAATTTTTTTTTTTTGTGTACAGGTGTATTCGAATCTTGAGGGCAACAGATCTCATGTAGTCCATACTGGGTGGGCTATGATGGCTCTCATTGATGCTGGCCAGGTACACTATTTCCTTCATTGAAGAGTGGCAAAGAGCATAACCCCTCGAAAAAATCAGTTGCTCTCTCATCTTGCTAGTGTTTCTATTATCTGCATCCATTTATGTTGGTTTTGTGGAATTTTTAGCAAATACTTTGCTAAATGTTAATTCTATATTATTACCTCTTAAACAATAATAGGGATGCATTTTTTATGGATGACTTATTCATTATTGAACCTAAATGCTTTTAACATTTGTGATGTAATGGGTTTTTGATTGATGAAATAGTATTTTGTATGTTGAAGGATGGATGTTCACGTTAGATTGAGTGGTTTTTTCATGTTGAATTAGCGTTAATGTTACACTATTTTTTGTTGCTTGTGGATAAAAATATGCAAAAGAAATAAAAATATATTCAGTGTGTTCGGTTTGAGCTTTTTGAATTAAGTTTTTTGAAAACTGAGTTTTTTGGTTTTCGTTTTTTTTTTTGTTTTTAGTAAATATTTTTAAAATTTTAAATATTTTTTTTTACTTTTTTAGATGCACCTTACTTAGATGTATCTAAAAAGTAAAAAATTTGTGAAAAAATATTTTTAAAAATTAATAAATGCATAAAAATATAAAAAATATACTGAATTCTCGTATTTTTTTTTTGTATTTTTGGTATTTAATGAATTTTTAAAAGGTTTTTTTCAAATTTTTTTTACTTTTTGGGTATATGTATGTTAGGTATGTTTAAAAATTAAAAAAATTGCTCAAAATATTAAAAAAATTCAGTAAAAACAAAAAAAAAAAAAGGAAAATAAAAAAGTAGAATTTTCTGAAAAGTGTTTTTGAAAAATAATAACCAAGCATAGTGATTATTTTTTTCTATATTCTTGCCGGGTTTGTAGCCTAATTAAAATCATCATTTCCTGTGTCCGTGTCTGTGCTTGTACTTTGTAGTTGCTAATTGATGTAATTCAAATTGTTGCTCACTAAAAGATGTTCAAGTAATTTACTCCTTAAACCTAGTCACCTTGGTGAAATTAATTAAGAGTTGGTTCCTTTAAAACATTCACTGAACTATCAACTGAACAATACTTAAGACTTGTCTTAATTTGAATTTGTTCAAATTCAATTCTTATTTCAATAACAAATGTTATACGAACTATAATCCACTTAGTGTAAACAGTGCAATTATATTCTAAAATGTTCAATAATGAATCAAGAGTAAAAAATAATGAAATCCAGAGAGAAATTCCCAATGAGGGATACGATATCTCAAGCTCTAAATTACAATTTCAATTGATAAAAAATTAGTAAGAAAAGTGTCTACACCTATTTTTGTAGGCAACTAACTCAACTACTACACAACCACATACAATTACCACATATAACTGCTTACATCTACTACCGCCTTTAAAAAGAATTGTCCCCTTAAGAAGGAATTATCTTCAAGCAACGACAACACAATAGAAGCAATCACAACACAAACTAGTCGAACACAGAAGGAACCAAGTGTTGGACATTGAAGGTGTTGGAATGAGGGATACAATAGCTTGAGCTCTGAAATACAATATCAAATGATCAAAATTAGTTAGAAAAACCTCTACACCTATTTATAGGCAACTAACTCAACTACTACATAACTACATACAACTACCACATATAACTACTTCCATCAATAATCAAGCATTCATCTTATCACTTCATAATGTACAAAATAAGTGCAAGATTTATAGTGATTTACCACACCTATTTTTCCTGCGTCACCCTTGGTTCCACATCCGTAACCATACTAAAAGGGTTATATCTGGGTTTAACCTTTACATCTCAACAACTAAAGGTTTACACTAGGATTACCCGCCAACCTTTACAACAAATAACAAATTGGATTTTCTTGGCTCAACCCAAAACCAACCACCACAAATATACAAATTCCTATTAGTTAAACTAAGATGCTCACCTAGAGCTCCTAGGGTGTCCCTATGGTGTCCCTATAGGAAACCAAAGTGTACGTGTGTGATAACAATAGTGTATACAACAATATATAATACTAAGATAGAGAATATCCCTTCCAAAAGCCAAGAAATCACAAGCTCTTAAAGTAACTTCACCAACAAAGTGTTGAAGGCAAAATTACCCAAAAACACTAATACCCTACTGATTTACGTTTTGGAATGCACATTCCAAAACTTGGTAGTTTTTCATTCCAAAATGGAGAATTTATTGATCCAAAATGAACCCAAAATTTTTCCATTATATTTTAAAGTTTCCTATAGGAGAAAAAAAAAATCAAATATAATGAACTAAAATGTAGAGTGAATGGAGTTGTTGCATAACCAAATACGAAACAAATGGACCATAACGCTTAATAGAATTGTGCTTTTTCATGATTAATTTATAACAATATTTGATTGTATGTCTAACTATTAAAATATATTTGCCATCACATTAATAGTCTTTTAAATTTTAGCAGCGTGATCTATACAATCTTACCCTTATTGTATCACATTAATTTTAGAGCATGTGGCGTACCTTGTTTTCATTCCTGTTCCTTGTACCAGAATGATATGCATTCTAGGTAACCTTGGTTGAAGGCCTTTCAAACTCACTCTAACTAAAATAAGCTGTACAAACTCTTATTAGGTGTGGTTAAGAGTGTATAAGAGCTGCTGAGACTTTCATAAGACTCCTTTTTGACAAGAAAATACCAAATTGGGGCTTTTGGTATGTATAGAATAGCCTTTTCAATAGCCTATAAAGCATATATACAGATATAATATAGTTCCATGATAAAACCTTAAAAATAGGATATGGGTACAGCTAACATACATTCGTACTAAATTATATATATCTTGTAAAAAATATATTGATATAGAGAAAGGAGAGAATAAATTGTATGTATTATAAGTGGGTGAAGTAGGTGGAGAGTAGGTGGATTTTAACATATCTTATAGTTTTTAGTATTGTATTATACATAAGCTCAAAGGATAGTGAAATCATTATTAAGGAATTAGTTATTTGCTAAACATGGACACAGGTATAGTTACAGGGACATAGCGCTTTTGAAAATATTAGGATATATACCTGGTGGAGATATGGAAATATCTATTTGGTTTTGAGTTGTTAAAAATAGTTTTTGAGCTTTCAATTTGTAATTCTTTAATTTTATTGATTTTTCTTTATATTTTGATTTTTTAAATTTTCAGATGCATCAAATCTAAATGTACTTAAAAATTAAATTTTTTGTGAAGAAATCTTAAAAAATCTCAATAAATACGAAAATATATTGAATTTTTGTATTTTTTAGTATTTAGTGAATATTAAAGATTTTTTTCATAAATTTTGTACTTTTTAAGTGTATTTAGATTAAGTGGATCTAAAAAGTAAAAACATTGATTAAAATATTTAAAATGTTCACTAAAAAAAAAAATACGGAGTGAAAACTCAATTTATTTGAAAATTCCAAAACCAAACAATGTTTTATTTTTGTTTGCTATTTATATGGGTATAAATTTAGAGCACAAAGATACGAGATACATCAACGTATATGTGAGTATAAATTTTCCACTTTTTCCTCTCCATGTTTCCATATATTTTACTTTGACCCTAAATCAGTTTTTTAAAGTTAAAAATAAAAAAATAAAAACCCAAAAAGATATCCAATCCATTTCCAAATGCATGGCATGTGTGTCCATGAAATGTCCTTGTGTCCTGAACTAATGAGCGAAGTCAATATCTGAACTACTGTCAGCTGACCATCCATAACAAGTAACACTCATCATGACGAATATGCCCGATAGCATACTTTAGGCACCCCACAACACAAGATTAAGGAATATAATCCTTTTGATTCTTCGAGACAGGCTTAGGATTCATTTCAATGGTTTAGGCTCTACTTTTACCAATAGATAATTCAATGGGTTCGCAATTTGCACCTAGAATCATTCTATATATTCCTCATGTAAGTCACGAATGACAACTGAGAAGTCTCCCAAAACAATCCTAAGGATCTTACATCCAAGCATATGGCTTGCATCACCCATGTTTATCATGTCTAAAACAAATGACTGTCAAACCTAGGTGGTGACAACCCTTTTAACTTTTTTGGCTCACAATGATAGAATAAGGGAACTTTCAATGGACCATTGATCATTCTTGAGTGGTCTTCATTGACCATTTTTGGCCCATAATAGCTCGATGGAATCTAAGAACCACTACTTGGATGACTTTGCTTCAGGTTGTAAATGTTTATTCGAACCAACAATTGCTCCCTAACCTTTTGCCATAAAAGCATAAGGTAAATCCTTATAGATCTACTTATCTAATTTTCCAATGAGAAGTCTAGTTACAATATCCACGAAGCAAAGTTTCGAACTCAAATTTATTATCAACGCTAAAGTTGAAGTAAACCTCACTCTTGAGGAGGAAGTCTCCTCTTAGTCCACAACTTACTCAATGATGCGACTTTCCGGTTGTCACGACCCCATCCCGCTCCACACAGGATAGCATTGTGACCGCAGTAGGGCTTGACTACCCAAGGCCTAGCAAGACAAGACAAGAATAGACTAACAATAGTTGGGGCTTATGCATAAGCATTCATCCATTAATTACCAAAAGTCCATTTAGAGCATGTGCATTAGTCATATGAAATGAAAACATACATTCCTCTTGGATTGATATCTTGTATTATTACGAAGTCCAAACAACAAAAAGTATAGTACATCATCTATGATATAACCTTACAAAAACCAACACACATGTACAAGACTGTCTTCTTAAGGTTACATCTTCCAAAGTGGAAAGCAAAAAAACTACTAAACAAGCTTCTCTTTGGAACTGTGCTCTTGTTCATCACCTACATTGTAACACCCCAAAATTTATTGTCCGAATACATCCCCAATTTCCTTTATTAAATTGCATTTCCAAGATATAATTGCAGAAGCAAGATAAAATAAATAACCTCTGCTGTCAGAATCTTGCGATTCGCGATTCGATTCGCAATTTTTGCAAAATCGATAGGAATCTATGATTGA